TGCTCAACTTACTCAATATAATTGCTGCTCAACTGACTGCTTAACAGGCGAGAAGGACACTAGGTCTTCACGCTCACGATAAGCAACTGTAGGACCTAATATGTAGGTCGTTGTCCATACTAGGGCAAGGCTAACCCTTATGCACTTCTAAGGTTGGAGCTTAACTCACAACTGCACTAGAGTCCTTGATACTACTGGAGATTCGAAACACTTGGTTATGACGAAACCTATCTCTAGATCAAAGTCCCATAGGGAAGAATTATTCTAAGATCATCTGAAATTAGACTTAACTTAAGGCTGCTCTAGAGTTCTTAATTCACTTAACTCAAAGCTGCACTAGAATTCTTATCTCAACTAGCGTTCGGTTCACCTAGGTAGAAAGGATCTACTCGCTAGGTTATTGCCCCTATTCGGGCGGAATTTTACATACATACCTCAACCATGGTATTGTGATTATAGAAGATGTAATACCCAGTACAGGGTCCCCACCTAATATGCTGAAATGCAGGTGCTGAATGGTTTGCAACTGCGGAGGCTCGACTATCCACAAGCTACAAAATTTATAAGCACAAAATATGTTTTAAGTACTTATCTTAAACTGAAAACTCGAATTATATTATCTGAGATGTCTAGGTTCGCTCACTCGACTTTAAAATCATTTTAGGGATTTACGAGCTGATTTTGAAAATTTATTGTCTTTGAGGCATACTAAAGTTCTCTGAAATACTTCTAAGTCTGAAACTAAAATCAGACTTAAATCCAAAATATATGTGGATCTAAAATCTATCTGAAACCTTAACTATATCTAAAATCTTAAATATATCTGAAATCTTAATCCGACTGAATCTGAAACTTATCTGAGATTCTATCTGAAATATATCTCGAACCGTCCGGACTGGCCAAACCAGTTCGACTGAACTGGACCGACGGCTCACTCAGAGCCGGTCGATCATTCGTTTAACTATGTGCAACTCGGTTTGACCGTGGTCCAGGTTCGGCGTGGCAACTCGGGGCCGACACGAACTCGACTGACATGGCTTGATCGAAGCACAGTTTGGAACGGTGCCATGGTCACTGACGTAGGGGCGTGCTTGGACCACGGCTAACGGAAACAGCGCGTAAATGGTTGATCGGATGGACTCGGTGCATGGGCACGCACTCGGGGGTTTGACTCGGACTCGGTGCACGGGCACGCACTCGGCGATTCAGCTCCATTCGGACGAGAGTCGAGTACGTGTGCGGGGCGACGATACGCATTACGAATTAACGATACGACGGCTAAAGATTATCCAGACGGTACTAGGGTCCAGGCATTTAATAATCAGATCCGAAAAAATACCCGGTTATCGGAATCAGATAAAACTAGGGTTTCGATTCTCAAAAATCCTAACTCATTTAAGGTCGATAATTAATATATATTTATGCAATTTATATTGATTTTAAAATCAACAACTGCAGCTAAAATCATATCCGTCTAATTTTTCTAAAATATCGCATTCCACGGGTAAAGTCCTGATCGTATAACTAAGTCAAACGGTATCCAAAATTTATGAACTTCGAATCGTAGCATATTCAATATACTAATAGTCAATGGTCAACACATCGAGCCAAATGGCAACTCCTAACCTAGTCAACTCACAATTGCTACGACTGGTCAACGCATTTAACCGGCTCGTTTACCTACCGAACGAACCCCAAATCTTATAAAAATTGCACTTAAGCCTCAAGACAATTTATTATGATTTATCAAATTTAAATTATCATTTTATGACTTGTATTCAAGGGATCGAAAAATCGATCGTTCCAAGCTCGATAAATCCCGGTAAATTCAATAAACACTCAAATCCTCAAATATTCATTTTATAATTATCCATTCATCATAATAAAGCCATTGGAGAAGGATTCAAGCCAAAGTACCTAATCGGGCTCGAATCGGATGTCGAAAAGAGGAGAAAACCAAATTAAAATGATCAGTGAAGAGAAACCGGGTCGTTGATGCTCAAACGGGCCGAACCGGAGTAAATGTAAAGTGGGTCGACTCTGTCCGAGTTGACTGGGTCTGATTAGGGGCGAGTCGGACGATTTGGGCCGAGTCGACTCGGTGAGTCACAGATCGCGAGTTGGGCACCGGGTTTGGTTCAGCTGGTCGCGGGTTAAGCTGGGTTCGCGTGTCAGGGTCCGTTTCTAGCCGAGTTTGGTGTTGTGTCGCGCAAGGGTGGCTCGCTGGTCACGAAACCGGTCGTGGGTTGGTCGTAGGGACGCGAACAGGAGCGGCTGGAACCGTAGGCGAGCTGGTTGCGCCAGAACTCGGCTGGAACGACGTGTGGACTCGCGGTTTAGGCTTGGGGATGACAGATTCGAGCTGGAGGCGCATGAACGACAAGAAACGGAGCTTTTCGGACTCGATTTGTCGGTATGGACGTGTTAGGGAAGCGCGCCGGTGACTGGGCTCGCGGTTTTCCGGCGGGACTGAGGTCGCGCGTACGGATGGTGAGTAGGGGCGGGACCGCGAGCTCGGATGCGGCGGTTCTTGAGCAGCGAGACAGAGGCGCGGTCGCTGGTCGCGGAGGTTGAGCTTCCCGGCGCGGTGTGGAACAGCTTGCCGGTGGCTACGGCGGCAGCTTGGCGTGGAGGAGCTGTGACGCGGTGAGAAAGGGTTCTCGGATGGCTACAGTGGCGCCGGCGTGGAGTGGGCTTCGTCGGAAAAGTGGCTGGCCAGATTTGGTGAAGATGAGATGGTGGTTGGGTGGTGGAGAAGAAGATGATTTATTTATAGTAGTAGAGGGAATTTAGGGTTATGGTGTGAATTGGGCCAAATTTTTGGTCTTAGCAATTAATTGACTTGTGCTAAATATCAATTGCTACTTGGGCTTGGTAAATTGAATACTTGGACTAATTAGATTAGTCGGTTGAATTTTACTGGAATAATTGGACTTGAATAAATTAATTATTCAGCTACGGTCTACTTTAATAAGGTTTCTGATAATTCCAAGGCTCGGTTTTAAAAATTAGAACCGATACTTGGACTAAATAAATCTGACTTTAATAATTAAAAATCGAATTAATTCTCCATGGCTTAGACTTTAATACTAATTATTCAATTTAATGCAATTAATAATAATAAATGCATTAAATTAGGAAACTGAATATTTATGGAAATATAGTTGAGCTCCACAAAGAGTAAATAAAAATCTGGGCGTACAGTATAATCCTCACAAGGGTCGTCTCGCAAACGAGCCAAAATAGGGCCAAAGAAAGAGTCAGAAGGATAGATAGTACGCATAACCTCAAAGCCAAACACCGACACGCGCATCTCAGACAATAATAACACCCACGGCTCAAAGCATCAGCAACCCTGTTCGAGGCGCCCGACCGGTGCCGAAGGACAAATGTTAACTGCTGAAGGAATGACGTCCACGAAGCATGTCGCGCCGAAATATTATCCTGCGAGGCAAGATGGCGAAGGGCCTCGTGATCGGTATACAAAATGAACTCCCGATGGAAAAGATAGTGTCACCAATGTCGCACAGCACGCACCACCGCATAAAATTCAACATCATACGTGCTATATCGCAATCGGGAGCCCAATAACTTCTCACTGAATAAAGACACCGGACGTCCGTCCTGGCTAAGGACAACACAAATGCCTACCTTTGAGGCGTCGCATGATAGCTCAAATGGTCTCGAGAAGTCCAGTAAAATGAGCACCGGAGCGTGTGTCAACTTGCTTTTTATGAGAGCGAAGGCCTCCTCGGTAGCATCCGTCTAGGTAAAAGCCTTCCTCGTGAGGCAGCTCATGATCGGAGCCATGATGGAACTAAAATGGGAAATGAACCGTCTATAGAACGAAGCCAAGCCATGAAAGCTTCGTGCCTCCGTGAAAGTAGTTGGCGTAGGCCAAGCACGAACGACTTCCACCTTGTTGTCATCCACACGTATCCCTGCTCTGGAGATCACAAAACCCAAAAATAGAACCGAGTCCACCATAAAAAGGCACTTCTTTGAAGCCTCATAAAAGGACTCACCCCGAAGAATAAGAAAAACCACCCGAACGTGCTCCAAATGCTCCTCCACGGTGCTACTATATATAAGTATGTCATTGAAATAAACGACGACACATCTGCCAATAAGGTCCCATAGTGTCTGATTCATGATGCGCATAAAAGAACTCGGAGCATTCGAAAGGCCGAAAGGCATAACCATCCATTCAAAAAGACCTTCCCGAATCTTAAAGGCTGTCTTCCTCTCATCCCCCGATCTAATGCGAATCTGGTGATACCCACTACGAAGATCCAACTTGGTAAAGACAGTGGCACCGTGCAACTGATCAAGCAAGTCATCCAAACGAGGAATAGGAAAACAGTACCGGACAGTAATTTTATTGATCGCCGGACTGTCCACACACATACGCCACGCTCCATATTTCTTTGGGATCAACAAGGCCAGTACAACACATGGACTCAGACTCCGGCGAACAACACCACGCTGGAGGAGCTTCTCCACCTAACGTCGCAGCTCCTCGTGTTCTATCGGGCTCATCCGATAGTGTGGTCAGTTTGGCAAAGAAGCCCCCAGAATAAAGTCTATCTGATGCTGAATATCTCGTAATGGCGGTAAAACCAAAGCAAGCTCTGACGGGAAAACATCAGCGAACTCAGAATGCAGAGACTGGATAGCCTCGGGCGGCTCCTGAACCCCAATAGAATCAGACTCGAAGAACAAAAGAACAAATGGTATCTCGACCTCAAAGGCTGCCTGTGAAAGAAAAAGAACAGTCGAAGAACCATCTAGTGGCGAAAGACGAGTCGGACTAGGATGCAAAATAACTCAAACACCGGCGAGAGTGAAGCTGTAAGTGTTACGTCTGCAGTCAAGAGTAGCAGCCATGTCGTAATGCCACGGTCTGCCAAGTAACAAGTGGCAGGCATCCATGGGCACCACGTCACACCAGACCTGGTCTCGGTATGTAGCCCTAATCGCCAAAGAAATAAGAGCCCGACGGTCAATAGTAATGGCACGGTCATGGTGGATCCATGCTAGTTTGTAAGGGTGAGGATGGGGATCGCTCAAAAGCCCCAATATTGTCAACGAATCATGTGAAATAACATTTTTAGACGAACCAAGGTCAATAATAAAGCGGCATACCTTGTCACCAATGGTGCAAGTCGACTCGAAAATCTGATGGCGCTCCACCGGCTCATCAACGGGAGAATGAGGTGTCAAACACACCCGTCGAACAACAAGTGTCGAGTCCACATCCCCACTATGATGTTCTTCGCTCAACCCAGGCTCCACATCAAAAACAGGGGGGCCATCATAATCGGTATGCACCTCTTGTTCCCCTCCATCCTCCAGAAATAAACCACGTGATGTCGAACCTCGTGGACAGGCCGACTGACGATGGCAAAGCTCGCCACAACCAAAACAACGTAGCCCGCCACCCGGATGCTGACCGGTCGCCGCTGGAGGCAGTCCACCCATGCCCGACTGCTGCTGGTTCCCGGTCCCCGTCAATGGAAAATGGCCTGGTGCCGTCGTGTGGCCCGTGCTCACCGCCGCCGATGGTGTAAAGCGGCTAGACTGCTGTGGCCCACCGGTCGCAGGTTCTACTCGAGTGGAAGAAGGAAATGGCGAGCCCATTTTCCGGGCTAACTGCTGTTCCACAAGACGGGCTCTTTGATAGGCATAAAAAACAGTCTCTGGCAGGACTAGATTTAACATGTCTTGAATGGTTACTCGCAACCCACTGATATAACAAGAAATTAATTGAGACTTTGTCTCTCGTACCTCAACACGAGTTAGAAGCTGATAAAACTCGTGTGTGTAGTCATCAACCGATCTAGTACTCTATCTCAAATTGTGCAGCTGCTGATAAATGAAATTATCATAGTTAAAGGGCAACAACTTATCCTCCACATACTTACGAAATTTCACCTAAGAAACATTTAGCGTCTTCCCTTGACGATGCCGCATGCTCGTGATATGCATCCACTAAGTCGCAGCTCGCCCACGAAAACGAGTCTCAACAAGCGAACACGTCTATCCTCCGGGACCGCTTTGAAAGCCAATATCGACTTCACAGTGGCCCACCAATCAACAAAATTGCCCGACTCAACACTGCCATGAAACTCTGGGATTTCGACCTGAAACCCCGACTCCCAACGCGAGTCCTCGCCACCTTCTATCGGGCGCCAAACAACACGCTGGTGTGTTCCCAGGCCATCATTCCAATCGCCGTCAAAATCACGACATTACCGGTCATGTCCAACCGCTGCACGATTGTCCTCCACACGTTGCGGCTGCCACGAGACCTCTTCATCTTCGTCGTCAACGTACGGCTCACGTCCGCGGCATTGCATGACGTCCTCCTCCCACAACCCGTCATCGGAAAGAGGACTCTCCCGGCGAAAATTTTTTTCCACCTCTGCGTCTTCTCGCCAAGGACGCCTCGCACGCTGTCGCAAATCGCCGTCGCGCGCCCCTTGATCCCCACCATGCAGAAACCCTAATCCACTGTCACCCCTAGCCCACGGATGGAAACCTTCAGGGAACGGGTTATCAATGGTCAAGGTATCGTCAGAACGGGTTATCAATGGTCAAGGTATCGTCAGAACGGGTTATCAATGGTCAAGGTATCGTCAGAATCCTCACCGGTCGGCAGTGGAGGTGGTGATCGTCGGCGGGGCGCCCCGCCAAATCCTCGACCGCCACGACCTCCTCACTGTCCCACACGATTTCCCTGGTCAGCCCCATCGCGGTTTCGACGCATCTCATCCATCATGGTGCACATCGTCAGTCGTAGTTCCTCGAACCCCGTCGATAGGTCCGTGAATCGTTCATCAAAACTGTTGAATCGCTCATCAATTCTCTGAAATCGTTCATCAACAGAGTTATCGATCACGGCTTTGTCCTTCTTTGGCGGCATCGTGGATCGTCGGTTGGTCTGCTGATACCAACTGATGTAGAGGATGTATTCGAAAGGGAATTAAGAACGCAAGAACAGTTTTATGTTTTCTCAAAATAATAATACGATGAATGAAATAAACTGTTCAGTGAGTGGGTACTTATATGAAGAGCCCACTACTCAGCAACTTTCTAATTATTTAATTAACTACTCCACTAATAAAAATAACATAAATGAAAACTATAATATCTAATAAACTGACAACTGATAAAAACCGGGAAAATAAATAATCTAAACTCGAAGAGGTCATATTTCTGTAGAAACGCCAACGCGGCCTCGTCTTCATCAGTTATCTATGGGTATTTTAAGATATAATTAATATAATATTTTTTTAATGAATTATACAATTATTATAACGGATATAATTACTAAAAATGTTAATTATTTTAGATTTTTTTGAAAAAAATAAATTTGAATTATCATACCTTTTACTTTATATGAAATTCAAAGTTACATATTTTAATATATTGATAAATGTTTATTCTTTATATTGATATAATTTAACTTCGGTATTAAATTTTCAAATTGAAACATTTAAAGAAAAAGATCCTAAACAGATTTTTTGGGTAAATTTCAATTAATCTTGATTTTCATATAATCACATTCCTAAAAAATCAATTAAAATTATAATTTTTATCTACATTACCTAACCGATTTTCTTATGATATATTTAATTTAATATCTTAACTAATTAATCATTTATCTAACCAAATTTATCTCTCTACCAAACTGCCAATTTTTTTGAAATTAAAATAGTATGATTATTCTTACGAATATACTTACAAATATATTAAACATTTAGAAGGTTTAAAAAATTTATTCTTATCCCTTCTTTTATATTATTTGAAATTGTAAGTTATATTTTTATTATATTATTATTTATTTTATATACATATAAATACTTATTATTTATTATCTGAGTGACAAATATTATTGATTTATCTTTTTAATAAATTTTTATTATTTATTTTTTTCTTACCTTATCTATATATATATAATTGCTGGCATGTAGCATTTAATAAAACATATTTAATAAAACCTTGAAAAGTTTCCCTCCATTTTCAGTTACAAAATTTGTCATTAATATTTTTTACTTCTCACATTAATACATCTTAATGAGTGTAATCATATATGTTTCTATTATATATATATAATAGTTATTGTTAATACCAACTAATAATAATTCACAATAAATACAAATTACATAATTATAAACAATTATTTCAAGTTATGTATTTTAACGTCAATATTATCTCTTTTTATTGTATCTCATAAAAAAATTTCTTTAAAATCAATTAGTAAATTATTTTAATAGCATAGTTAAACAACTTTAGAATCTTATAAATAATTATTTTTTAATAATAATATATATAATTGCTAGCTTAGAATTTAATTTTATCTATTTAATAAAACCTCTAAAATTTTCTCTTTATTTACAGTTACAAAATTTATCATTAATATTTTTTTATTTCTCACATTAACATATTCTATTAAGTGTAATCATGTATTTTTCTATTATATTATAAAATAGTTATTGCTAATAACAACTAATAATAATTCATAATAAATATAAATTATATAATTATAAACAATTGTTTTAAGTTGTTTATATTAACATCAATATTATCTTTTTCTTTTGTATCTCATGAAAAAATTTCTTTAAAAACAATTAGTAAATCGTTTTAATAGCATAGTCAAACAACTTAAAAACTTATAAACAATTGTTTTAATAATAATAATAATAATAATCAAACTGTTATTATCTAATGATAATAAACAATTGTTCATAATAATAAAATCGTTAATTTATTTTTTCTAATGATCAAATTTTTGAAAATGTAATATGTTCATTATCTAGAATTTTGATATTAAATTCACAAATATTACTTACTAATATTTTATGTACATCTGTGCACATGCACAGGATATCTACTAGTATAATCTAAATTTGGTTATTAGATTTTTAAATTCAAACATTTAAAGGAAAAGATCATAAGCAGATTTTTGGGTAAATTTTATTTTATCTATATTTTCAAATAATCACATTCCTAACAAACTAATTAATATTATAATTTCTTTTATCTAAATTATCTAATTGATTCTTTTATGATATAATTAATCTAATATCTGAACTAATTAATAATTTGTTTAACCAGAATTATCTCTCTAACAAACTTGTCAATTTTTGTGAAATTAAAATGGTATGATTATTCTTACGGGAATACTTGCCAATATATTAAACATTTAGAAACTTTTGTTTTTTAAAAATGAGTTATCCCTCCTTTTCTTTATTTGAAAATTTAAGTTATATTTTTAAATATATTATTATTTTATTTTTTTCTTACGTGTAAATGATTATTATTTATTATCTATGTTATATATTATTGGTTTATCTCTTTAATAAATGTTTATTATTTATTTTTTTCCTTAAGTGATATAATATAAATCTGGGTATTAGATTTTAAAATTTAAACATTTAAAGGAAAAGATCACAAGCAGATTTTTTCGATTAAACTTCTACCCGACACACACGTGATAAATGGTTCAAAAATTGGATATTTGGATTGTATATTGCCAAGTCATTTTATTTGATAAATAAATTGGTCCTCTTATTATTTCTACCTAAATCCATGTGAATCTTTTTAAAGTAAAAGATTTTTAGGTTTTCAAAACTCAAATCAATAAATGTCCCATAAAATTGGAAAGAATATGAATTTGAAAAATGTGAGATTTGAATGTGATATACGTATTAAAAAATGTATTAGTACATTTATGGTAAACAAATCAATTAATTTTGTTAAATTAAATTCAAATCAATTAATATACCATACATAATTTACATATTTAATTGAATTTGGTATCTTTTTTTCCTTTTAGAAGAAAATATTTTTATATGTAAAAACCAATTTATCCTATATTTGTTTATTACTTTATCAGATCTATTATGAAATAATGTGGAATTTCATATTTCTTACGGGATATCCTCATTCGTTTTTGTATCCTTTTTTTTAATTAATACATTAAATGTTTTTTTTATTCAAGTTTTTTATATTTCAAACAAAATATACAACACATTTCATATTCATTTTTTTTAAACAAAATTGGATAAATTTTTTGTTTGATATCAATCATAATCGAATAATTTAGGAAAGTATATTCAAATAAGATTAAAATCGAATGCAAATCATTTCAAATTAGGCCATCTTTTTATATTTGTAATGCATCAATTTTCAGATGTATATTCGGTGCATATATGCTATGATTTTTTTTTTTCAAGTAATAGTGATACACTCTCAATGCAACTCTTTTAAGCAATTCTTGATACACATTAAAAAAATGTTTGCTAATAATTACCTTCCGTAAAATGACCCTCTTTCTATTTCATAACAAAATTCGTGTGAATCTCTAAAAATTGACAGAATTTTAGGTTTTAAAAATTTAAATCAATTGATATCCCATAAAAATTGACATATTTTAGGTTATGAGAATTCAAATCAATTCAAATTTTCTATCATTTTTTCTTTTGAAACAACATTTGTTAGCTTTGAACTTTGTATCAATCATTATCCAATTAGTAAAAAAAAAAAATTAAATCAATTTAACGCCAATCCTTGATCATGTTACCAATTATTTGAATATTATATTTTCATATGTGTTTTTTTTTTTTTACATTCCAATTTATAGGTAGATGACACATGCAATCACTAACGCCGCAATGGTGTGATCATTGAACCAAACATTGACAGGAAATAATGCATCTCACAAAACAAACTTTTGAATCAGTCTTTCATCTAAAAACCCCTTTCGCCATCGTCTTTGCGAACCAAAAAAAAAAAAAACCCATTGTCTCTCCATAATCTTGCCTCCGCCGGTGATGTCGAGGTCGGAATCGTAGCCTCCATCGACTAATCGACCCTCCCTTGCTGCTATTTCCTTCTCCTAGCTGAGGAACGGCAGTTTCTTGCTCCAACCCTAGGTGGTCGACGAGTCACATCGGGATGGGGCTTCCTCAATCAGGGCTTGGGTGGCTCGTCGGACATGGTGACGAGGTCGGATTCGAGTTGGGGGTTTCATCTTGGGTGGCTTTGTATTTCATTCTCCTTTTATTTGTTGTTTGCTGAGTTATTCTAGGCCGCCATAGGCGTGTCCTCTAACTTTCTTATTCATGTTGTTCTAGGCGTGTTTTTGGTTTGGGTCGTTGACCCCTGTCACATTAC